GACTCCGCAAGAAATGTTGCATGTTTTTTATGAATGATTTCCCAATGAAACCATGAACTGTTTATTAAATATGATTTAAACCATTCTAAAACTGTGCCTGAGAGGCCAACCCAGCATTCAGAGGCCTACCTAAATCATCTGAACTCAGTGGGGACACACAAATAAACAGTTTTGTCTCTGCTGTGTTGTGTAAACAGCCTGGTTACAGAGCTGCACCCGTCCTGGGAGATAAAGGGATTTCTGCTGGGATCGTTCAGCACTCACTCTCTGTTCGCGGATTTGGAACGCTGTCCGGCTGCCGGCCAAAAAATCTGATCCGGAGAAAGGAAGCCAGGGGCCGAATCGATCCGTAACAGTGTGAGGACATTGATTTATCAGGTTTTCTGCATTCAGCCAGCAGGCCGGCGGCTCTGTATGATTACAGCGTGATGCCTCTTGGGTTCGCTGGTGCTCCGGAGGATCCTGTTAATGCATCAGTGACAAAAAATCTCATTTAATTCAGAGAGAAGAATGAAGGATGGTGTTTATACACATTTAGCCACTAATCCTCAGAGGTTTAGCAGTCTGGCTTAGTGAGGCAGCCCTCGATTGTCTTCATTCTCAGCGTATTTAAGGCTTTGACTTCTGATGTAAAACTGAGAATGCTAATCTATTCTCCTCATCCACCGCATTTCTGTAGCTCAGCCGAGACACAGTGGGACCTCACTGGATCATCACAGCTAATGTAGGTCAGTGCCTCTCAACTGGTCTTGCCTCAGGGCTTGGACTGCAACTATTGTCCTCTCCACGCTCCACCCATAGATGTGTTTTTTCGTTTGAGATTGCACAGGCATTACAGAATGCTGGTAAAATCCCATTGGACCCAATGAGAAACTGCAGAACAGACTGAGTTTATATCACAATACCTACATTTAGAGTCAGTTATTCATTCAGCCTAATGAGAAACTGTAGAACAGACTGAGTTTATATCACAATACCTACATTTAGAGTCAGTTATTCATTCAGCCTAATGAGAAACTGTAGAACAGACTTGGTTTATATCACAATACCTACATTTAGAGTCAGTTATTCATTCAGCCTAATGAGAAACTGTAGAACAGACTCAGTTTATATCACAATACCTACATTTAGAGTCAGTTATTCATTCAACCTAATGAGAAACTGCAGAACAGACTGAGTTTATATCACAATACCTACATTTAGAGTCGGTTATTCATTCAGCCTAATGAGAAACTGTAGAACAGACTCAGTTTATATCACAATACCTACATTTAGAGTCAGTTATTCATTCAGCCTAATGAGAAACTGTAGAACAGACTCAGTTTATATCACAATACCTACATTTAGAGTCAGTTATTCATTCAGCCTAATGAGAAACTGTAGAACAGACTCAGTTTATATCACAATACCTACATTTAGATATATAATATATATTAACCATATAGAATAAATTGGTTTACCAATATCATGCATATTTTGCAACCCCAAATAATGTTCTTATTATAAGAACAAATAATATGCTGTTAAAGGGGACCCATTTTGCTTTTCCAGTTTTCTCCTCTTTCCTTTAGTGTGTTATGTATCTTGTTCTGCATGTAAACGTTCTGCAAAGTCCCAAAGCTCAGCGTTCCCTCCAGAGGGAGAAACTCTCTCCCACAGAACCCACTTTACTCAGCTGCCTGAAATGCCTTGTTGGAATTCCAGCCCTTTTCCTTTGTTACAGAAAGGCTCATTCTTGAAACACAGTCCTTACTGCCCGCCTACCAGCGAGCTCGGTCCCCTTGCACAGAGAGATACAGAGTAAAACCCACTCTGAAACGTCCTGCTCCGGTCCAGCTCGCACACGTGGATTGGCTCTACCAGCTTGTTCTACTGGAATTTCAGGATCGACTCTGGATCAAACTGATACGGCAGAACCGACGTCGGGCCCCGACGACGACGGCCGCGAGAGCCGGCAGAGCCAGCGACGACGAACCTCGGCCAGGACGAGGAGGCGGAGCAGCGAGCTCTCGTTCCCTCTTGGATCGGGTGCTCATGTTGCCCTTAATGAGAGCCAGCTGATGATGATCTGGCTGGCAGCGTGAGCGCCTTTTAAAGAGCTGAGAGGGATCAGAGAGAGCAGGAGAGGGACACAAAGCAGCAACAAGGACTGAAGACCTGAAAAGCTTATTTAGGAGAAGGACTGAAAAGTCTAGCCAGCTTAAGCCACTGAAAAGTCTAGCCAGCTTAAGCCACTGAAAAGTGGCCAACATAGTTTCGTTGTTTTGAGTTGTGTTTATTTTGTAAATAAATAAATATGGCTGCTGCAGCACTGAACCCTGCCTCCAGCGTCCTCCTTTAGCCCGGGTTAGCACATGCCATGCTACAGTGGTGCCGAAACCCGGGAGGAGGACGCCAACACACTGAGGAAGTCTCCGCGGCAGAAGAGGAGGCCATCAAGACCCTGGTACACCTGCACCTGGCCGGCTGGCGGGAGCTGCAGGCTGTCTTCCAGGATGCTGAAAAGCACTGGAAGCAGCTTGAGGAGCAGCAGGTGGCAAGCCGTCAGATGGTCAGGAGCCTGCTGGCGGAGCGGCAACCCTCGGTGTGTGTGGGGGCAGGAGCCCCCCTCTCACTGCCCCTCAAACCTCCAGTCCCAGCTCCCAGGAGGACTGGAGCTCTTCTCCCCCTCCCCTTCCTGCTCCGAGGGTGTTCAGAGCTCACCTTCTCCCCCCTCCCCTTCCTGCTCTGAGGGTGCTCGGAGCTCACTTTCTCCCCCCTCCCCTTCCTGCTCCGAGAGCGCTCGGAGCTCACCGTCTTTCCCCTCCCGTTCCTGCTCCGAGGGTGCCCGGAGCCCAGCTTCGCACCCCTCCCGTCCCCGCTGCCGGACAAGCCGCGGAGGCCCCGCCTGCCGCCGCACAAGCCGCGGAGGCCCCGCCTGCCGCCGCACAAGCCGCGGAGGCCCCGCCTGCCGCCGCACAAGCCGCGGAGGCCCCGCCTGCCGTCACTTGCATGACTGGCGTCCTTCGGCGGAGCTCAGGCTGGCCGAGGTTCGTCGCCGCTGGGTGTTCCCCCGGGGGGCGGGTGCATGCCACAGAGATGTTTTTGGAAGAAAATCTTTTCTATTGGACTCCAAAAATAAAAATTGTTGGATCTTACAGTTTTGTAGTATTGTAGTAATGATTGACTAATAGGTCAAACTTATAGCTATGAAACCGAAACCGCCCACAATTATTCACCGGAGGTTGTTATGATAACATAGTGCTGCACTTGTAGTCCCATTTCACCCCTCGCCCCTACCACTTAGCCCTACCCCTCCATTTTGTGTGTTCTCGTCTAGGGGTAGGGTGTCCCGATTCTTGCTGAGATAGTGTATTATGTGTATTATGGTCCTTTTCTTCATAACAAGCATTAAAAATCTAGTGGTGCTGACGACTCGGTAGCTAAATTTTCCATTCCACCTTAAATGGTTACATTCTGGCACCTCAGGCATCAGAACTGCTTTGCTGAGGACTATATGCAGAAGCTGTGTTAATGGCTGTATCAGCAGGGGAGGAGCTCTGCAGAGATGTTCTGAGACTGAGAGTCTTTCTGTAGCAGCAGTTCTTCACTGAAGTGTCTGAGCTCTCCTTCTGGTGGAGGTCAATGATCCGCCGAGTAACAGGAGAAGAACTGTTTTCACATTCGCGCTGAACTGCTGGCCTTTCTGGAGTGGATTCACAGCGTACACACCTGACTCACTCCGGCTGGATGAGTCACCCTGTAGGATCTCATAATGACACAGAAAAGCTTAAAGCGATAGTTCTGCAGAAAATTGAGTTCTCAGTTCTCTCTCCTCACCCCTAATGTAGCCACTGAGCCACGGCGTGTTCACTGAAATGTGGTTCTTTGGCTAATGTAGCTACAAGAGTAATGGAAGCTGATACCCCACCAGTTAGCATGGTGCTAACTGCATGTTGAACTGACCAAATGAGTCTCTCCTCGATACGGTTTGGCGCGAGTCCGTGATGATCGCTGGGCGATGTGGCAAAAGTAAAATATTGTGATACTTCAAAAAATTTTCATGATACATGATATGCTACGATATTTATTTATTCACACCTCTGATCAGCTGGAACAGAGAACAAAGAACCAGTAGTGCTACACGCTTCTTCAAGGGTTCTTTAGTAAAGAACATGGTTCTATATAGAGCAATGAAGCCTCTAAGAACCCTTTGCATAATTAAATGGTTCTTGGCATCTTGAAAGCGTTCTGTACAGAACTTTTTGAAAAGGGTTCTATACAGCACACAAAATGGTTCTTCTGTTGTCACAAGCTTGACACTAAAATAAGAACCCTTTTGGGTGCTGTTAGCTGTGAGAGGAGCAGAGCTGTTAGTTGTGTGAGGAGCGGAGCTGTTAGTTGTGTGAGGAGCGGAGCTGTTAGCTGTGTGAGGAGCGGAGCTGTTAGTCGTGTGAGGAGTGGAGCTGTTAGCTGTGTGAGGAGCAGAGCTGTTAGTCGTGAGAGGAGTGGAGCTGTTAGTTGTGTGAGGAGCGGAGCTGTTAGTCGTGAGAGGAGTGGAGCTGTTAGTTGTGTGAGGAGCGGAGCTGTTAGTCGTGTGAGGAGCGGAGCTGTTAGCTGTGTGAGGAGCGGAGCTGTTAGTCGTGTGAGGAGTGGAGCTGTTAGCTGTGTGAGGAGCGGAGCTGTTAGTCGTGTGAGGAGCGGAGCTGTTAGTTGTGAGAGGAGAGGAGCTGTTAGTTGTGAGAGGAGCGGAGCTGTTAGTTGTGTGAGGAGCGGAGCTGTTAGTTGTGAGAGGAGCGGAGCTGTTAGCTGTGTGAGGAGCGGAGCTGTTAGTTGTGAGAGGAGCGGAGCTGTTAGTTGTGTGAGGAGCGGAGCTGTTAGTCGTGAGAGGAGCGGAGCTGTTAGCTGTGAGAGGAGCGGAGCTGTTAGTCGTGTGAGGAGCGGAGCTGTTAGTCGTGAGAGGAGCGGAGCTGTGAGAGGAGCGGAGCTGTTAGCTGTGTGAGGAGTGGAGCTGTTAGTTGTGTGAGGAGCGGAGCTGTTAGCTGTGTGAGGAGCGGAGCTGTTAGCTGTGAGAGGAGTGGAGCTGTTAGCTGTGAGAGGAGTGGAGCTGTTAGTTGTATGAGGAGCGGAGCTGTTAGCTGTGTGAGGAGCGGAGCTGTTAGTTGTGAGAGGAGCGGAGCTGTTAGCTGTGTGAGGAGCGGAGCTGTTAGTTGTGTGAGGAGCGGAGCTGTTAGTCGTGAGAGGAGCGGAGCTGTTAGTTGTGTGAGGAGCGGAGCTGTTAGCTGTGAGAGGAGTGGAGCTGTTAGTCGTGTGAGGAGCGGAGCTGTTAGCTGTGTGAGGAGCGGAGCTGTTAGTTGTGTGAGGAGCGGAGCTGTTAGTCGTGTGAGGAGCGGAGCTGTTAGTCGTGTGAGGAGCGGAGCTGTTAGTCGTGAGAGGAGCGGAGCTGTTAGTTGTGTCAGGAGCGGAGCTGTTAGTTGTGAGAGGAGCGGAGCTGTTAGTTGTGTGAGGAGCGGAACTGTTAGTCGTGTGAGGAGCGGAGCTGTTAGTCGTGTGAGGAGCAGAGCTGTTAGTTGTGTGAGCTGTGTGAGGAGCAGTGAGGTGGTGGAGGGAGTGCAGACGCTCCTCTCCGTGCTGATCCGTGACTGAGCCGTTTCCTGCCTCCTGCAGTGCTGTTTGTTTCTCTAATAAGCAGCCGTGTGTTTGAGCGGCGCGATAAGCAGCTCCAGACGAGCCGAGCGTTAATTAGCGCCGCTGTGCTCGTGTGGATTGTTCTGTCTCAGAAACACAGACGAGGTGAATCCGTCACTCACAGACTAATGGGATCGGATTATGGAGGAGGAAGATCAAAGGAGCCCTGCATCCCTGTAGAGGAGTGACGGTACGAAACTTTCACCATATGATATGTATTGCTGTCGTTATTATGCATAACGGTAGGAAATGCGTCTCCTCTCAATCTCTCCTTTAAAGGCTCTTCATATATCATGATCCTCATGTGTTTCATATCTAAATGCTCCGTTTTCTTCATCACTACTTTCCAAACCCGCTGCAGCAGCTTCAGCAGCTGCACGCCGTTTCACATGAGTCTCCGATGTGGACTGCATGAAGAATGAAGGGTTTCCGGCGTGATGGTCAGTCCTTAGTGATTTCCTGAGTGTCCATTGGTCAGTTTCACACAGAATGTAGACGGACACACCAATCCACCAGTTCCACACGGTGAGAGGCAGATGCCGTGTATCTCAGCCCCTCTTCATAGGCTCATAACTCCGGATGTGAGTCTCGTATGATCTCGTGATAAGATGGAATGGAAAGGGCGACTCTACAGATTCAGGAAGTGTCTGAACTGGATTTCTGAGCTGGATCATCACTAAGATGGCACAGGTCATGTACTGTAATTCCACGACTTTCGGGTTAACTAAGCATTACCTTTTCAAATTAACCCCTTAAAATCTGTTCTAAAAAATCCATTCTTAGATTATAAAGGTGTGTAATAAAACTTTGGGCCTGTTTGGTCACTAAACGGGTTAAATAACACAGTTACAATTACTGAAATCTCCAAGGACCTGTTTTTTAGATACATTTGCATGAAATTATTAATGGGCAGCTGCAGACTATAGCAGACAAGCACAGCCTGTTCCCCCAACTTCCTCTTTATCATCTAACATCACCTGAACTCACAGGGGCGCAATAAACGAGTGAACCGCTCAGCGTTGGCCCACACAGATGTTTATTAAAGGTGAGCTCTGAGCTCGACTGGCTAATAAAAGCTGAACTGAGCTCCACAGTTTAGAAGCAGAATAACTGAAAGAGTCTCTCCACGTTTTCTGTGTTTTACTGAAGGAGTTCAGAAGGTCAGAATCTGCAGATCTGAGATCATAAACAGACATTCAGGAGCTTTAAGGTCATTTAGAGCTTTAAAAACCAGCAGCAGAGCTTTAAACTCTCTCTAACAGATCCAGGCGGTCAGTGCAGTGTGTAACGGGGTGATATGAGCTCTCTGTGTTGGTGCTGTGAGGATCCGTTCTGCTGCGTTCTGTACGGGTTCTAGAGGATGGACTGTTTTCAACAGTAAGAAGATCATTACAGTGATCAACTCTGCTGAACAAACGCAGCTACGAGTTTCTCTGCGTCGCTCTGAGAGAGAAAAGCCTGAACTTTAGTGATTTTCTCACTGATTAAAAGCTGCTTTAGTGACTGTTTACATGCAGATTAAACAGAGCTCAGAGTCTCAGATCTCACCCAGGTTTCTACTGCAGGTTTGGTGTTTGAAGATAAAGAGCCGAGATTTTCATGAAGCAGATTTCTCTGAGTTTCAGTATTATAATGTACAGTCACTGGTAAATCCGGTTGAACTGAGCATTACAGGTTCGTTTAGAGTCAGATCTTGGGTTTGTATGTAAAGTGTGGCTGAAATGAGTGAGAGGGTTTTATATCAATCCCTCCCAGCAAACTGCACAATCAGGGACTCTCTACGACTGAATAGAGGTGCAACTGTTAATATTAAGCGAGTTAGGCGTTTCAGCCTGAGCGTCTGTGTGGAGAAGTAGCTGCTGAGGCTCATGTTTTCTCCCAGAGGCTGAAGTTGGCTTCCTATTCACCAGCTTCTTACTCAACACGGCAAAAAATGCTATCTTGTCAAGTAAGATTATCTTAAATATAGTCAATAAATCTAACATTTCTCATGTTGAGGTTGTTATAACTAATTTTAAGATTATTTAACTTATTCCCAAACATTTTTACTTGTAATAAGTAATTTTATCAAGAACAATTCTCACCATATTGGCAGATAATTTAGTTTGTTTTAAGAAATGTGCTTGAAACCAGCAAAATTGTCTGCCAATATAGTGAGATATTTTTCTTGATAAAATTACTTAAAAAGTAAAATATGTCTAGAAATAAGCTAGATAAGCTTATAATATCTCAAAATAAGAAATATTAGATAGATCAACTAGAATGAAGATGATTTCACTTGACCAGATACTATTTTTTGCAGTGAAAGTTTTCATTCCACCTTAAATAGAGCTGCAGTTACCTTTTCTGCTCCATTTAAGGTAGGATGGACAATTTGAATAATAAGCTGACTCCTCAGTTCGGTCAGTGAGACATTTGGGAGACATTTTCGCTAATGAGTTAGCATATTTAAGGCGTTAGCACAGGCGTGTGATCCTGGCGTTGAGTCTGTAACGTCTGATCTGGTTCTCTTTACCTGTCATTACTGGGCTCACCTGGGAAACCGAAGTGGTTCTGAATAAAAGGTGATTTCACTTTCACCATTTCAAACAGCTTGGCTATTAGTCATGTGCGCTTCACGAACCAATCAGCTTTGAGCTGGTGCTTTTAGCTGAATGTTGGGAGCTCACTCGCATTGAGGATTTTTTGTTTTGTCAAATTAAGACAAAACAAATGGGTAAATCTTATTACGCTGTATCTGAGACTCACAGGACCTTCTTGGCGTCCAGCTCTTCCTCCTCATTATGGCTCTGGTTTTGGTTCTTGGCTGTTCTTCTGTATTTCTTGTTTTTTGGCAGCTGGTTGATGGATTGCCTGTATGTAGCCTGTCTGCTCGTGATCTAGTGATTACTGCCTCTTGAAACCCTTCCAGAAAAACTACTCAGCAACATCTGACATATACAGTTTTTATAATTAAGTGCCATCAAGTCGTTTCCGACTCCTGGTGACCATATGGACAGAGTTTCTTCAGAATATCCCGTCTCCTGTTTGGGTCTTCAGGCTTCTGAATGGCTGGTTTCCCTGATTGTCTCCTCCATCTTGTTGCTGGTCGTCCTCTTTACGTTCAGCTGTTCTGAGCAGAACCGTCTTCTCCAATGAACTGGTTCTCAGAACATGACCAAAGGAAGAGCTTCAGTTTGGTTCTCTGGGCTCTGAGAGAGAGAAGAGGATTGATTGTTTTCCATGTATCGAGTGTGGATGTGTCTGAGTCCCAGATGACCGTTTCTTAGCTGTATTTTGCTCTGTTGGGCTGCAGGATCCACATAACTCCTACGTAGTGCACTCTGTAGGGAGCAGGGAGCCGTTTGAGATTCAGCCCAGAGTGAGAAGAGGGGCACCGCTGGATTGGGGCTAAATAAGACTCGCCGTGGTGATTTGGTGACTTAAAAGTACTTATAAAGCAAAATGCTATGTTATCATGTTCATTATTATATGAAGTTAAAAAGTTCATGAAATGACCGTAAAATAAGGGGCGACCGGACGTTCTTCTCCTCGTTCAGCGGTCCATGGTTGCTTGGCAACGATACCATACTGTAAAGGAGCTACATTTCTTGGTGGAATACTTGTTTATGTCAATTATTATTAATTATAACTTCGAAAAATTGTGTTTAATTATATTTTATGTTGGCTTTTATTAAAGCAATAAGCCACTTGAGGCCGTGCAGTACAGTGATTTTATCACAATGAAGGGGGGTTGTGTTATTGTTTGTTATGAAGCACTGCGTGTTATATATGATAGGTGTATATAAACATTATTATTATATGATTATGAGAAGGTAATTCCAGCACACTGAAGCTCCGTATGTAAGGAGAGGAGAATGAAGAGGAGCTGAGAAGCTCATCCGTCGCTCTGGAGCTTCGCTTCAAACCCGCAGAAACGGCACAATTAAACTGCGCTGCTTCACCCGTCGCTGCGCTTTTATCAGCTAAATTTAGCGGCGGACGCTCCGCTGTGCTGCCGCCGCCATCAGCGCGCGAGCGTCTGCGTCTGAAGTGAATGATAAAAGGATTTTTTTGGTGGATAATCGTCCCCGTGGCTTTTCTGCAGGGAGGGAAGATTTCTGCCTTTGAAGTGCGGCAGAGAGCCGAGGTGCTGAAAACAGGCTTTAAAACACATCCTGAATAAAAGACTCGGAATAAAGATTCAGAATTGTGTCTGGAAGTCTCGCCGGCTCTCCCTGCAGTCCACAAACTCTCCCACACTTTCAGGACTCAAACGTCCCACTGCTTCAGAACAGAAGCAACTGGCTCGTTTAAAAAGTAAACTTCTCCTGCAGCTTTAAAACACTCATTTATCTGAAATCATAAAGTTTAACAAAGTTCTTTGAGATTTGATACAGTAGTGTCTCAATCCAGTATTCAGTATTTACAGATTTAGTTTTTAATGTTTAAATGACCGTATTTGACATTTATAGTGATCTTATATGTGGAGCGTTCTGCTGTATTAGTTACTCCCACTGCTACTGTTTAAAACAGTGACGTATTCAGATCTTAGATATTTACAGTGATTCTGTTCTGATCTATTTAAACCCAAGACATCAATAGAGACGGTAATAATATAATATATACACAATCATCATTTATAGGGTATTTTCTATTGGGAGGAGTCTGTCCCAAACACTAACCTCTACATTTACACTTCTGAAAATCATACTTTAAAGAACTGTGTTGTTTAAAACGTTTAGATTTCTTTTAAAGTGAATGTTTACATTTAGATTTATCATGAGTTTAATTTTTAAATAAAAATGCTGTCCCACATTTACATCACCCAAACACTACTGAAACACAGAGTTCCAGTATGTAGGCGGAGCCTTATTTTAGCCCCGCCCCTGCATTTAGAGCAGGAAGTGAGGCTGCATCCCTGTCCCTCATGGCCACATGGTGAGCAGTTACATCCCATTGTTTTATAGTAAATGAGTCCCAAAGTCTGAAAATCAGTGTGGAACATTAAGAATCGTCATATTTTCTGCAGTTCAGCACTTTTTAGTGTTTTAATGTAAAATATGATGATTTTCTGTGTGAACAGCTGTTCAAAGCTGTGTTTGCTGGTCATGAACTGCTGAGTTTCTGAGCTCAGAATGAGCTAAAATTATCACCGAAACAGTCACTACTGAAACAGTCACTACTGAAACAGACACTACTGAAACAGTC